ATATTAACACTGAAACAGTAAGAACAAACATACAATATTTAAATTTCATTTTTAATTCAAATCCCAGCGACGCAGATTTACTTCCAGACTCATCTTGTTTGTTTTTTTTTTGCTAGATGGAAAACAACTAACAGAACATTCATGTCACCGGCTGGTATAAGGTGTGGAACTAAATGTCTATTTTTCTCCTTCTTGTTGTTGTAAAAAACTTTATAAAACTCTTCAAATCCTGACGGTTGTTCCTCTCCCTATCCTTTCTCTCTGCGCTGCTTTGACAGAAAGCCCAAAAATAAAGAAATTATATGAGGGATTCATAATCTCCTGCAGGCGGATGATATGAGGTATGCAAATTAGGCGATGACATCATCCAGCTCCTTTCAGGATAGCCAATAGAGACCCTTTATGCTGAGGAATCAGCAACACTTTGAGTATGAGCTCATCTGCCTTCATTCACACCCTAACGTCACTGAAAACCCATTTTCATTAGATAGGAATTAATTAGGGATAAAAGTTAGAGATTAATGAGTTCTAATAAAGTTAAATTATCTTATTGATTGATTAAAGATGAACAGAAAGCAACATTTTACTTAAATTCCTGTTTTCTTTCCATTTTAATTTGAACAATTTGCTGATTTAAAAAAAAAGCATTAAATTGTTACATTTGAACAAATCAAACTTCCAGCTGTTTTAAACACTCACTGAATTAAAGAAAAGTTTCTCACATATAGAATATGGAACCTAATAGTTTATTTCCAGATAAAGCATCAATCCTCCAGGATCAGGTTCGTTAGGAGCGGCTCTGTTGCTCTGATGGACCGTCTGACTTTCGTCCCACTTGGTCTCCATGAAGCGGATGCTAACTGGGAAACAGCTCGCCGTTTTAAGGACGGTCCAACAACCAGCGACACTCTGCGCGGTTGGTGTTTGCTAATGGGTTCAGGTTCTGTCTGTAAAATCTCTGATATTAAACAGCTCATAGTAACACTTTGCTTTAATACTCTTATTTAAAGCTGATGTTACTCTGGTTTATAAAAAATGGGTCAATTCTCATCCCTGATGTTAAGAATTGTTCTCTGTTTAGGAAATATCACTTGATCACCTTTTCTATCAGTCCAACCTCTAAAATAAGAATATAAATTAGTAGCTATAGCAAAAGTATGTATGATTACTGTTGGTATGGTAACGGGTAAATATGTGTATCAGTCGATGCTCAAAGCTGCATATATTAGCATCTAGCAGAGGGGAAGCCGTACTATCAGCCAGACTTACTGGCATCATGTTCAGAGTGAGGCTCAACTTTCTGATGTTTAACAAACATTTAGCTTTTAGAAAAGTTTATTTTATGACTGCATTGAAATGGGGGAGATTTTTAATTATTGTTTCATTTTTTATTATATTAATTATTAAGAAAAAACAATGGCTGTTCCTCAACCTGTACTTGTGCATCCTAGTGTCCTCGTGAAACATCATAAGCCTCAGCTCTACTACTGTTCTAATTCACAAGAACAGCAGAGCGAGAACACACAAAGTCCCTGGATGTTGTTCTGGCCCCTCCCTCTTTACCCAGCATGCATCAGAGCACACTTGTCCGTCCTCCAGACTGACAGCTGTCCCAGCATGCACTGCAGCAGCAGCAGCTTCCAGGTTAGCGCTCACAGAGCTCAGAGGATTATGTTAAAACTTCTCTTTTCTGTTGCTGTTGGTAAATAATAGTACATTTTAATAAGATCATTTGAGGCGAGAACATTATACTTTAAGCTTCACTATAGGAACATTTACTGATTTACTGCTTTTTTAAAATAAAAGTTCTGATGTCGAGAGGACGGCAGCATCCAGCAGACCTCCGAGGCTAACGGCGGCCAGGACTAACGTTAGCCCGTCTGAAGCAGCCAGGGCTAACGTTAGCCCGTCTGAAGCATCCAGGGCTAACGTTAGCCCGTCTGAAGCATCCAGGGCTAACGTTAGCCCGTCTGCAGCA